ATAGGCCAACTCAGAGCCCTAGATCTGGGCCTGGTTAGAAGCTGAGTTTGTCAGCCCATCAGCTCTCATGTGACCATACCACCAGGGCCCTTTGCCTAGGGCTGGTTCTCACACATTCATACAACCAGGGCCCATTCTCCTAAGTGCAACTGGTGAGGGATGGTGCCAGCTCTCCTGCTCTCCTGACCTCTGGCCAGCTAACCCCATTGCAGTGTGTGTGTGTGTGTGTGTGTGTGTGTGTGTGTGTGTGTGTGTGGTGGTGGTGGTGGTGGTAGCCCTTTCATGCCCATGCCACTTCCAAGACAGATGAGGGGCAGGGACAGCTCTCATAACATCATGCTCTTAGGACTGGCTCACCATCACCCTCAATGCCAGAGCCAGCTCTACTGTGCTGCCCAGGCAAGGTGCAAGGCCTGCTCTCCCAAGTGCTGCAACTCCTAAGGGGGAGAGCCAGTTGTCTTGCTCTCCTGCCCTGTAGGCTGGCTCACCTACTTGCTGCAGGTGTGTGTGTGTATGTGTGTGTGTGTATTTGTGTGAGAGGTAGGGGTGTGAGTGTAGAGATACATACTTTTTATATTGCTCATTTGTGATTTGTGATCAGTGATAATCCTCCAAGGGCCATGTCTGAATTTTTCATAGAAACTTTTTAACAGATGGGATTTCATACAAATCAATGTCTTCTTGTTCTACATAAAGGATATTTAGGAAATGAGGCTCATATGGCTTGTGTGGAGGTCTAATAGGCATAAATGAGGAATGTACATGATTTCAAAATCTGCTCCTTTCTTCGTGGGTTTATGAACATAACAGTAATGATTTTCCTCTGAGGTTTGTTTGCCGGGGCAGCTGAGATCCTTCTGTGTTGTTTTATTCCTTTCACCAGTCAGCAGGAGCACAGGCTTGATCTAGAATTTTGTCTGATACTATAGACTTCTCTTTGCAATAAGGAGCATACTCAATGCCATACCAAAGTGAGTTTATTGACATTCCTTGAAGATGTATGATGTAAGAGAAAGCGAGGCCTGAGTATCACGTGACATTTCTTTTGTAGATGTAAGCAAAATCAGCCCAGTAATATGACATCTCCTGTTATTGACTAGAACAAAGACTTGTAAACAAAATGTTATGGACATTTCCTTAGGTAATGAAAGCTGCAGGAAATAGACTAATGGAACAATATTTACTCTATATACTACCTCTAGGCACCTTTTATCTACTAGAACAAAGGGACTACATGTCATTAACAGGAAAATAATACTTTCTCTTTTGGACCTTGTGATGGCTGGAATAGTCATCCCGCACATTTATGATACAGTATTGCAGTTTTAATGACGAACACTGTTAGACATAATTGTAATAATAATAATCATAACAACGACAACAATAACAATAATAAAGCACCACATTTTGTTATGTAAAGTTCTAACTACTTTCATCTGAAAGTGTTTCTTCTTGACTGGGAAAACATTTGTGGCAACTTAGAAACTTTCTGAACCCAAATTTCAGACATGTGGGTTGATACATGAACTATCAATGAGACCTCATACTGTTAGAGATTTCGTGGAAAACTCAGCTCACTGGCTTGCCATACAGATACTCTTACTGTTGAATGATATAGCTTCATTATTAACAGAAAAACCATTTAAATCTTTCATAATGAAAGCTTGCCAAAATATCATTTAGCATTTGATTGTTTTCATTAACTTTCCTGAAGTATTTGTGCTATAATAATGATGGTAGCAAACCATCAGGATGTTCTCCAACTCATATACACAGGATGTCACAGAGAACGCAGTATTCTAGAGTACTTCTGATCTTGGTGACTCAATTTCTATTGGGAAGATTGTCATCTTCATGTTATTTAATAATATATTTGTGTTATCTATAAAATTATGATAACACCTTATTGTCTTTTTCAAATTGTAACATATTTTTAAAATCTTTTTAAAATTTTTTGTCTTCTCCCAAAATGTATTATACTCATAAAACTAGATATAAAAAAAATCTTGTTTTAGGGAGGTTACGACTTTAAGTAATTAATTTATAATTGGCTTCATGGAGAAAAAGGTTCAAAGAATTACATATGGCCACAAAAGATCTGTCTTACCCAAAGAATTATATGATTTGAGGTGATTTCTCTCCAACCATTGAAATCAATAGAAAACTATTTCTACAGTGTTTTCCTTAGGTGTAAATGTATACACATATAAACATATATAGTTATATGCCTATATGCATATATATTGCATTATATATAATTTTAAAATCAATCTCACATATGAAGAAAAAAGCATCTTTCCATGAGTAGCTTTTGCGTTCCTATTCCCTTTGATTTCCCTTCTTCCACAAAAGGCTGAAGTCATATGTTGGGCTCTACCAAGCAAGCTTTACATTCTCTCAACAACTTTGGTGTCAGTATAGTCGCCATTTTTAATTTTTCCAGAATACTATTGCTATACAAAGAGGGGTTCATGAGTCCCCAGCCCTAGCTAAGGAGATATTGACATCTGATGTCAGTTTTCCTTCTTTGCTTTTGTTCTTTTTGGTTTTTTCACTTATGTAACTCTGGATGTTCTGGAACTTGCTCTGTTGACAAGACTGGCTTTGAACTCACAGGGATCTGCCTGTTTCTGCCTTCCAAGTGCTGGGATTAAAGGCATTTTAATTTCACAAAGGTGTACCACTACAGCCGGCTATGAGAGTCAAATATATATAATCTCAAATACATTTATATCTTCCAGGGGATAGCGTTACTGCACAAATTGGACTTGATGAGTCATTGAAAAAAAATGACATGACATTGAAAAGGAATTGAGTATTGAGGAGTAGATGTAGAAGGAGTTAGGGAGAAGAGTGTTGGGTGAATATAATTGAAATACATCATAATATCCTCAAAAAAGAGTATATTAGAAATACTATTGCTGTTATGCTTGCTTGTTGGGATTCATGTAGAGCCTGGCACTAGGGTAGAGATATAACTAAAAATTAGTTTAAAATACATTTATCTGTGTTTCATTTTCATATGTCATTTCTAAGATAATTTCTTCCTTCTAAATGTTGGTAGACTATATATTAATCTGATTAATAGACTGTCTTATTATTGCAAATTGTAAAGCTCTTCAGGAACAGCTTTCTAAATTTGAACAATAGCCTCCTTTTCAATGTATGGCAAGTAAGTGGTAAAAAACTTGAACTTTTTTTGTGAGTTTTAATGTATATATAAGATGAATTCTAAATATGCTATTCTAAGAGATAAAGATTTAGTGAAAGTGATTTTAGCAGTGTTTTTGTTTTGAGTTCATTACTAAATCACAGCTCCATTGGAATTATTTTTCAGATTCTGAAATATGGGCCAAATTTTACTCACCCCTCAAGCTGTGTTTCATACAATGTACACCCCATTTTTAGTAAAACTTATTTTTCAATATCAATAGAAAACTAAGTTTTTTATCATAGATACTTCTTGCTTGACAAAGAAACACAGGAACACAGAGTGTTTTGGTATTGTGAATAATTTTTACTAAGAAAATATTTTAATGTGTGGGAACAAAACACACTGCTATACTGAGCCACAAGGCATGGCTTCAGTATAAGTTAACTTTACATTCTCAGACTTTTTCTTTTATATGTTGACTACAACAATGAATATTTAAATAGTTGGGTCTCTTTAGCTTTTCTTTTTCCCAGTGAAGAAAAACCACTTTCATTTATGTCATATTTCAGACAACACAGATATCATGGTTACAAAAATAGCAAATGACCATTATGGTTAGATTTACCTCAAATGTACTTAAGATGCCAGGCTGTCTGTGGAGCCTGTGATTGTTTTTCTAAAAACACATTTTCTTAGATATTTTTGCTGAATGCTTTAAAAAAATGGATTTTTTTGGGACACAAGTCAGTGTGCCTTTGAAGAATCACTATGGATGAAGGAGAAGTTTATATTGCCCGTGATCCTTAACAAGCACCATCGTGCTCTGCAGCTTCGTATGTGGTGTCTGTGAACATTAGATGTGACAGAATTTGAACACCATGATTTTAAAAAAAGGAAAAGAAAAAAATGAGAAAAGTATCAAGGCTAAAAAGAAGCAAAAAGTTGTCCTATCAGGTAAACCTCGTTGCAACAAAAGCCATGAGATTTGTTTGGACTATGTGCCAGTGAGAATAGATTAAACAAAATTCATGGATTTGAATAAATGTCATATGTCCTGTCCTTTTTCCTGTTTGCCTTTTCACTTTCTATGTGACAAAATTAGAGGTAAAGGCTCATCCTTCAATCTACAGCAATTGGGATTTCCTCCTTGGACGTGGTACACAAGTTTGTGCTTCTTGGGTGGTGAGGGTTCACGAGGGGTGCTCCCCCACTACACTTTTCTGAACTTAAGTTGAGTTCATAGTCCATCTAACCCTTAGATTTACTGATAACCTTTTTCTTCTTGCTGTTGTTAATTGCTGGAAGTTTCATATTTGCACCATATGTCTAGGCTAGTTCTGGCTGATGGGACTGATACCACCTATGAATCATGAGTTGAATGAAGAAAAGGTTTCTGTGTGGCTTTGGCTGTCCATTTGGAAATGGAAATGTAGAGATAGAGAAGAAAAAAATTTGTCAGCTCTCACGTCTGGAAATGGTTGCTAGAAATTAGGAAAAATGGTAGTTCTGCTTGGAAGACATGGACATGTAAAAGCATGGAAGGCTTACAGCTCAAATTATCTTTAAATGATATAAATGGAAGTAAACATTTATTACCATTTCGTCAAGTGTAGCATAACTTGCGCTCATATTTCATTGTTAGGAATGGAGGTATGTGGAGGTATACACAGACCTTGAAACAGCTGTTTTGTAGTATTGCATACAGGCTAGCAGTTCATTGGAAACAGAGGAGATAAGCCTGAAGATTAGATCTTAGAAGAAGGCAATTCTTCATGCACAGCTTTTGCCAATTCTAATTTGCTTTGAAATAAAAATCATGGAATACCAAAGTCAAAGGAGGGGAGGAAGTCATCCCAGAAAGGGTGGTGTCACTGTTCAGGACAATATCAGGCGAAGTTCCACGTCTTTACTCAAGTCCAAAGGTGCTGGTTTCTTCTACTGCTGTTAACAGCTTTTCATACAACATGGAATATGAAGGATATGGTGGGAGATCCAATCGGTTGAAACATGTATGTGCCCTGAGTAGGGGAGAAAATACTGGTGAGGGTATTTTAAGGACTGCTTTTGGTTACATTGATGACTTAAAAGGGGAATTAAAAATGTGCCAGACAATGATTTTGGGCAATCAAAAAAGACTGCAAATGGCAAACCAAGGACATTGAGACACAACAAGTTTAGGAAATTGAAGAACTAGAAACAGTTAATTGTTATTTGTAAGTAAAACTACACTATACTACAAATACAGTAGAGAACCAACAGTCAAGTCTATGCTATTAGCCTAATTTGAAATTTAAATAATACGAAGGAGGCAGAGACATTATTAGTGCTAATGGATCATTCCAAAGCATTCTTACCTCCCTTGTGAGTTCTAGGCCTTGTTAAACCACAAGTATCTACTTGGAAGAGCTAGTGGTACTTTGTAATCCCAAGATCCAGTTCTCCATGCCAGGTGTGTTGTAGAAACAAGTTTAAATACTTTACACCAGTGAAATACACATCAACTGAAGCTTACATGTCCCACTCCGAAGGATCCCTAAGTGTGTAGGACACTCCTTCCCCAAACCTGGAAGAGTCTTCAAATCATTATCATCCATGTAGCCTTGCTCAGAATGGGTTTCATTCTGGTGTCCCATACTTGCCAGTATTTGTCCTAGACTAGCTATGTCTTTCTTCTTACATGGATAATACATGGTACAGGAAACACATGTGTAGATAATTCAGCAGTGAGCAGAGGAGGGATAACCACACAGATTCTTCCTTAGTATCTGTTTCCTGCCAGGAACTCTTTGTTTCTATGGAAACTTGATTCTAGTCTTTTGACAAAGGAGGAAGAAGAGTGTATTGGTACATCTGGAAGTTTAATTTTATGCCTTTTCCTTCCAGGTTGGGTAGCAGTATGTTGAAGCTGTGTTTATATATCAACCAGCACAGAAAAAAAAAAAACACTAAGCTAAAACAAAACAAAATAAACCAGAACAACACAACAACAACTTCAACCACAACCACCTCAACAACAATAACAATAACAACAATAACAATAACAACACCCCATAGAATAAAACTAAACACTCAGAATTTTATTTGAGATGTTAGGGTTTGAATTACAAGGTCCTTTGGGGAAGTGTTTGTAACCTATACCTTTGTTCTGACAAACTAAAGAGTGTCAGAATACTGTGTGGGCTCAAGATTCAGGATAGTGCAGCTTCTTTGGGAGACAGAGAAAAAGGGACGAAAGAAGAAGGAATGTGGGGTTTTCTGCTGAGGGAGAATCTGAGGAGGGTGCTGGTGTTTGTCTCCCCAGCATCCAATCCTGCTTTTGGCAGCAGCTCCCTCCTTATCCCTGTGTTCACTCAACACCACAATTTCCTGCTTGTCTTCTTTCTCTTCAAACCCCCAGGTGCCTGCACAAGACAGTAGAATGTCTTATGGTAGGCTTGAAGGATTTGATTTGGAGAAAATGTGAAAATAAATAGATATTAGCAGAGCTCTGTGATTACTTAAGTATCAGGAAGACTTAGATTGCTTCAACTAACAATATTAATATCTATTCCGAGAAAATATGTATATTGCATTTAATCTGTGTCTCCGTAGTAACAAAAGCAATGGCATTTCCTAAAGGATAAAGCAGAGACTCTACAGAACGCTCATTTCCTGGTGAAAGATACCAAAGTATCTTTCTCTTCACATCCTCTCTGTATATTAATTGATTTTCCGTTGCTGTGACAAAACATCTGACAAAAGGAATGAGGAAGGGGCAGACTATCTTGACTCATTGTGGAGGTACAGTCTCTCATGGTAAGGGAGACATGACAGTAGTAACATGAGGTGGATAGCCATATGACATCCACAGTTAAGAAGCAGGAGAGAGAAACACACTAAGTTCACGGTCTTCTCTTTAATCCAAGACCCCAACCCATGGAATGATGCTGCATATATTTAGGGTGGGTCTTCCTACCTCAGTTACTTTATCTAGAGACAACCTTGAATTCTCAGAGGCAATTCAAGTTCCCAACTAGTCAATAGTTAGCATCTCATCCTTGGACATTTTGTCCTCTGTTGACTCAATACTTTCTGAGCATATGATGTTGTTTGTGCCATCCAGAATTGGATCATACTGCTCACCCAGCCTAGAATTTCTCTGTGCTCTATCCCTTAATGTCCACCAAATGCTAGTTGCTTTGAAGCATTTTTTCTGATTAGCTCAATCAGGATTAAAATTCTGATTCACATGCTCATATCACATTGCTTTAAGCACCTTGAATTCCTCTGATTCTCTCTTATGTTGTAATTAGTTATCTTTGGTCCGTATTTCCCTTTAGTATAAGTTCTTATGATGAGGTGTCTTGTATCTTACCTCATCCTCATACCACAGACTAGGCTATTAATGATGATCCAAATGATATTTTCCTAAATATTTCCCAGAATGTTTCCAAGTAACTTCACTATCAAGATCTATCTATCATTAAGCTAGATGTGTGCTAATTTACGTTTTGGGTCTTTCAGCTCTAGAGGAACCACAAAACTAATATCTTTTGTCTTGATGGCTAGAACTCGTATAGGAAAGCCTGAGAACTACTTTTGACTGTTGTTAAACAATTGGTAATATTTACTAGTACTCATTGTTGTGGAGTGATTTTCTCTGAAACAAAACATTCTACCTTGGAGGGAAGCTAAGATCTGAACAAGAACAATGCCAATAGACATAGTAACACAGAATGGGAAAAGTTCACAGGGCCCCAGCCCTAGACAAAGAACTATATGCAACTAAGGACTGTTGAAAGAAGGACAATTAGCCTTCTCCAGGGATGAGGCTTCTAATTGATTATGTAATACTGAGTGGTCAGCCCTGAAATTATGCACATACAAGTAACACTAAGTGAACTCAGGAGGTTACATTTCTCTATATATGAGCTCTCTCTCTCTCTCTTTCTCTCTCTCTCTCTCTCTCTTTCTCTGTGTGTGTATGTATGTATTTAACAGTAACAAAGAAAAAAAGTCATGAATCTGAAAGGGAGAGGGTAAGGCCATGGGGGTTTGGAGAAAGGAAAGGAGGGAGGGAAATGATATAATAATATTTTAATTAAATAATAAAATTAAAATTATAAAGGGAGAGTATACATTCATCCCTGCCTGAAAACTCTTTTTGTTATTTTGTCTTTTTTTTTTTTTTTCAGAGTTGAGGACTAAACCCAGGGCTAAGCTCTCTATCACTGAGCTAAATCCCCAAGTCCAGGAAAACATTAAACCTCAGGAAGCATACAACTCAAAAGCTTTAGAAACTCCCTGAGACTGAGGCATACAAACAGTAAGGGCTGCAAGATGTTCTCAGAGGAGCCAACATGACCATGGCTCATACTAGCCGAGATGCCTAGAACAGACACTTTTCAGCCTACGGAGCTGCATGCATGTTGTGCACTCCACATTCCCAGCTTTGGTGACCCATTCCGGAGTAGGTTTTAGGTGATAAGTTGTTGGAGCCATTTCTGCTCCTGGAAGTAACCTCTTGTTCATATGCCTCTAAGTATCGCCAATAAAATTCATTGGTTCACAAAGCTGAACTTTGTTGGTATCATTGCTTTGTTCTACTGTCAGTTTCCTATCTGGGGTGAGGAGACATTTGGTCAGTTCTTCTCAGGACCAGAATCACATAACACTCAACAGCATATGAACTGTCCTGAGGAAAGCAAGAAGTCTGGGAAAATTAGATGAAAACTAGACTTCATTAAGTATTTTTAATTAATTAGTTAATTATATGTATATGAGTGCTCTATCTGGATGCACATCTGCATGCCAGAAGAGGGCATCAGATCACATTTTAGATGGTTGTGAGCCACCATGTGGTTGCTGGGAGCAGAACTCAGGACCTCTGAAAAGGCAACCAGTGCTCTTAACTATCCTATGAAGTATCAAGTATATGCTATAGGTGTATGCTCTATGTCAGTGGGGTTACTTTGCATATCCAGCATTTTTGCAGTTATGACCTTGCTTCTACCATCCCCTAAAGACTTAAGTTTTGGATGGATTGGGCAGTCTACCATTATTGGCACATTGGACATTACAGCTCAAATATGATCAACAACTAAAACTTCACTAAGAATACAGTCTCAAGCCAAGACTTAGAAGCATCCTGCTTACATCTTTAGTAATACAAATAACAGTACACTTTGTGACAGGCAAGAATTCTATCTTAAAAGACTCAAGACTCAAATAGCAAAGCATGCTTTTTCTCTGCAGAGTTCATGAAGGTTGGCAGGAGCTCTGTACCTGGGGAGAGATGTAATCTTCCCCCATTTCTCTATGCAGAAACGTCGAAGTCCATTGCTTCCCCGCAGAGCTGCAAAGCCTTCATAGGGCACACTTGACGTTCCTGTCACAAACTGAAGTAATCTCAATCTCTGCTCATTATTGAAGCGTTCCACTGCAGCCCAGAACCAGCGGATCACAAGGTGGCCATCATGATAACCTGGTTTAAAAAAAAAGAGGTGGATTCCAGGAGAAAAGAGGAAGAGACAGATGTGTTAGCTGAACTGCAACTTCAGATCTTTTGATTTTGCTGAGAATGGCACTTACATAGGCTAGACTTAACTCATTTACATAACTTGGCTGGGTCTTAAAACAAGCAGATTTAGAATATAGCTCTTTTACAAAACTGGGTATTTGAGAGATTTTTCTCCGAGGTATTTGCTTTTTATTTAAACAATTGGATACAACCTGAAATATCCCAGTCTTATGTGAATTTAAGTAAAAAACAAAAAGGCTCAACACAGGCAGACCATCTATGTTTTCTTTGTTTTGATGTTTTAGCACTTGGCAACAACATATAGCACAAGAGGGTCTAGAACTTAAGAACAGATAGATGTTACATGCAAACCTGGCTGAAGAAGATAGGTTTTCAGAAGTCATGACTGCCCAAAGAGAAAAGCCTGATTCCATCACAGAGTTGTTCTCTGAGCCAAGCCTGGAAATGGATCTGCTTTAAGGCTCGGTTGAAGAAGCTAGGCTTGTGAGAAGAAATTTAGAGAAATGATCACCACTCAACACAAAGGTAAGAAGCATTGGAAGAGAGAGGAGATACATGTGGGTAGAAATTGAGAAAGCTCTGTGAAGGAAGCAGGGTTTGAGTTTGGCATGGGGAACATTTATGTAGTAGAGCAAAGTGAGGGGGCATTCTTAGCAGAGGAAATAATGAGAATGAGGAAAACATGAGGTATTAGGAAGTCAGCTAACAACTGAGTATCTGTAGAGGTCCAGGCCAGGGAGTTGCCTGGACATTAGAAGTCTTACTGGTTCAGCAGAAGCATTCGTGTTGAATACTTTCACCAGAAGTTTTCTTAACTAATCTGCATAAAACTTCCAGAGGGCTTTGCAGGTGACCAGCTGAAGGAGGCTGAGTTGGTATGCCATTCTTCCCTTAAACCCGTTATATTGAGATTTTTCTCTAATATTTTACCTAAAAAGAGGGTTTTTGAGGATAAACTACTATGTTTTGGGGAAAGATCTGATGAAAATGATGCCTGCAAAGTCTAGATATGTACACATACCCTATGCTAATAATTTCTTAACACCAATCCCATGTTGAAATTCCATTTTGGACATAAGTTAAAAGACAGATTAAAGTTCTTTGTTTGTACATTTTCTAATATGGCTATTAGAAAATTTAGTCAGTGCTAGGTGTGGTAGTACATGCAAAAGTTAGAAAGCAGAGGCAGGTGGATCTTTGTGAGTCTGACACCAGCTTTGATCTACTTAGTAACTTCCAAGCCATCCAAGGCTAGACAGTGAGACACTATCTCAGCAAGGAAGGAAACAAACAAATAAACAAGCAAATAAATAAATAAATACATTCAAACTTACACATGTGGTTCATATACTTTGGATGACTAGTCTAAGAAGTCAAATGTTCTGGGAAAATATTCCTTACAGTCATCCCATGGTAAGAATCACAATTTTTATTGTTAAGAAATGGTGGATAGTATATAAACAGAGAGGAGAAATTTAGAATTTGGTTCATTTTGATGCAGACCAAAGGAAAGTTCACAAATGACTCACACAGTAAATGATTTTTCAAAGGGGGGAGGGGGAGAGAGAGAGAGAGAGAGAGAGAGAGAGAGAGAGAGAGAGAGAGAATGAGAATAGTTAGAATCCTGTAGAAACAAAGGTGAACTGAGGCAAAGAAGGCTAAAATTCCACAGGAAGCAAGAGACAGTGTGCAGCCTCCTCAAGAGCTCACATATAGAAGGTGTGTTGTCTGTGAGCCTTTGCACGACATGCCAAGGATTACTGTTTGTTGAAAAGAAGTTCAGTCAGAAAATGGTCAAGAAGTCATTTTGTACTGAAGTAAGGCTTTGGAGGCTTTAAAACGTGATACATTTGGCTCAGGATATTTTTTAGTGGTATGGCATTTGCTGAAGAAGCACCAGGCCTTGAATACCAGGCATTGTAGCAAAAATGTACAGTAGCAACAACTCTAGATAACGGTGTGATGCATTTAGCTACACAAAGGGATGAAATACTAAAACATGTCAGAAAATGGATGAATCTCAAAAAGAGTATGTTAAGCCAAAGAAGGCAGACACAAAGGCTGTATTTTGTATGACATTTCTAGAGTTGTTAAATTCCAGAGAGACAGAATAAAGATTTATGGTTTCCAGGTGTCTGGAAGATGGTGACAAGGGGCAGAGAACAACTGCTTGATGACTATCAGCCTTTCTTGAGATGGTGAAAGTATTTTAGAATCAGTTAGAGGTTATTGTCACATAAGGTTTTGAATGTACTAAATATTACTGAATTCTTTATTTTAGAATGGCTAACTTTACATCAAGCCAACTTTATTTCAACAATTTTTCTTTAAGACCTATATTGTCAAAAGCACTGCTAGCTCACCTCCCCGGTACTCAGTGTTATTCCTCCAGTCATTCAGGTCGATTTCCGCAGTTCCAGCGATCACCAGCTCCAGCTCCCTCGCATCAAACACTGAGACGAGCCTTGAGTCTACAACCTGAAAGACAGTCGCAAAACACACACACACACACACACACACACACACACACCACACAAATTCATGATTATTATTGTTGCCTATTGGATTGGGAAAGTAACTATCATTTATAAATTATCTATTTCAAATATGCAATCATTTTAAAATTTAAAATCACAGCATTCTACTTGCATGTTAAAATCTTTATTCCCAGCTCTGGAGCCTTAAATATGTAACTGTATTATAATCTCAAAACAATTTTTAAAAAGCAATTAGGTGCATCCTCTCCCACTAAGGCCAGACAAGTTAGTCTTCTGCTACATATGTGCCTGGAGCATCAGACCAGCCCGTGTATGCTCTTTGGTTGGTGGCTTAGTCTCTGGGAGTTCCCAGGGGTCCAGGTTAGTTGACATTGTTTGTCTTCCTATGGGGTTGGCATCCTGTTTCAGCTCCATCATTCCTTCTCCTAACTCTTCTATAGGGGTCCTCAACCTCAGTCCAATAGTTGGCTGTGAGTATCTGCATCTGTCTCAGTCATATGCTGGTAGAGCTTCTCAGAGGATAGCCATGTGTAATTTGATGCCCCAGGGAAGGGGAAGGGAGTGAAGAACTCTGGGAGTGGATACTGGGAGTTGGAGCAACATTTGGGATGTATATAAGTAGAATAATTAATTTAAAATTAGAGGTGGGGGGTGGAAACTGGGAGGATTGGGAAGTGAGTGTGGTTGGGGTTGATGATGTGAAATTCCCAAATAATCAATAAAAATGTTATGTAAAAGAAAATAAAAGAGGCAATTAGATCATACAGCATAGGGTTAGTGTCCTGAGAGGAGCACACGATCCTTGTGTTTTTCAATGAGTTTAGGCAAGAAGCTGGCACCTGTGGAGCTGTTGGCCCTTATCAGACACTGAGTCTGCCACTGTCTTGATCTTGGACTGCCCAGCCTCGAAGATTATGATAAATCAATTCTTGATGCTTAGAAAAGGCTTGTTTTTTTTTTTTTTTTTAACTACAGAAGCCACAATAGTAGTTTGAGCCATTTTAGATAGAATACAGTCCTTAGTGGGCTGGGAACAGAAGGAAAATCCCATGTCTTACTTACTTCAGATCTTTCCTGAGAGCACTTTCATAAGCAATTCTGACTTGGTTATCTGAAGTCACATTTGAGTTTCTAAGTTACATTGTATGTCATTCCCATGACATTATTATTCGTTTCTTACAGTCCCCTTCCTTCCCACCTTCCACACCTGATTTCCTTGTTCTCTTCTCTAAGGATTGAGAAGGACCCATTGGTTAGAGCTCTGTGCTATGGCTTTACATCTTCTGCCAGATGTGCCAGTCCAGGTCACCTGAATGTCTCCAGTGCTGTCTGCTTTGGACTGACTAGTGGTGGACAATAAATTAGAAAATAAACTTCTAAAGTGAATTTCTAAATTGAGATATAAAGGCATCATTTTGGGGGCATGAGAAGTCTAGCAGATATTATCCTGCCTGATGACAGGACAGAGATCTGTGACAAAACTGACACCCAGGAGAAGTGGCTACCACCCTCCAGTGCTTCTGCTTGGCTTTTTTTTGTTGTTGTTGTTACAGTGGACTGGAGGAAATGTCATATTCACATAGCTACACAAGAAATACTGTACGCTTCCTCACCTGGCACAACAGGGCCAAGTCAATGACACTTTATTGAGAATAGTTTAACTTTGGATTGGACTGGTATTCATTCATAGAGAAGTCTTTCCCTTCATCCGGCCAGTACAGCTACTGTTTCATGCTCTCTGGGTACAAGACTGTAAACTTGGCTTCTCCTGCTTCTTTCTCTCTGCTCTGAACTATTGAATCCCTGCTCCCTCTCCAGCTTCCAGAAGAGGTGCAGGCTCCACTGCAAAGCACGGGGTTATGGCTTGCTTTCCTGGGCCACTCAGGGTCTTACCTCATAGAAACCCCTGACCAACGCCTCGGTCTGCTGCACCACACCACGCTCCACGCGCCACTTCACCATCCTCTCTATGTACTCCTTCTTGTTCTTCTCGGTCACCTGCGTGTTAGCACCTCCAGACTTCAACTCTCTTTCTGTTACCTTGCAAATAAACGGGAGGATCATGATGCTTATCATTCAGGAGACATTTTTATTTAGGTTGACAACAGCACCAAAAAAGGTAGTTTTTCCTTCCTGGAAGTTACTAAAGAAAATTCCATTCCTGTTGTTTGAAGAAGATTCTTAAGCAACTTAGAAGAGCAACAATTTATTTATTTTTATACAAAAAGGAAACATTTCTTTCTTTTATTAAAAAAAGTTTATGTATTATGTGTACAATGTTCCTCCTACATGTATGCATGGACACCAGAAGAGGGCACTAGATTTCATTATTGATGGTTTTGAACCACCGTGGTTGCAGGGAATTGAACTCAGGACCTCTGGAAGAGCAGCCAGTGCTCTTAAACTCTGAGCCACCCCTCCAGTCCTAGAAACATATTTATTTAACTCAAGGGGTATAATGGAAACAAATGAGAAATAATGCGGGTTGTTCCTTAATGTGGAAGGAGCCAAGTGTGCCGACACTATAGTCAGATACTTGATGCCTCTATATCTCAATGAGGGCAACAATTTGCAAATTATGTGGCAAGTTCTTATTGTATATCTGAGGAGAAGTTCAGTAGATGTGGGTAGCAAGATTTGTTTTTCTAAGCTGGTTGTGAATGTGTCTAGGATACAGAGCACAGAGAATCAAAGGGGTCACCACTCAAAAAGGAACTCATGCTTCTAAAGACAAACTCATTGGCCAGGAGCTAGGATCTGTGTGAGTCTTTTTGTGTATTATAGAATATAAAAATATATTTCATGTGTTTTTCTAAGCCTACATACATACATATTATATGCTATATATGTTCTTTATTTTTTTTCTCTAGAAAATATATATCAGAAAATTTATGCCAATTTAGATAAAATTAACAGATATGGAGAGTCTCATACCTGTTTGACCAACAGATTTAATACTACATTAATAAATTCTTATAAAAACACATGGGAAATTTTCGTGTTAAGTAGTATCAAGATCTATGCATACTGGAGGACTAAGTGGATGTAATGAAAGAACTATTATGTAGTTTTGAAGATATAGAAATATCTTGTATCTTATGGTATACCTTAAATGTTTTCCGATCCATGATTACATTTGATTTTCAAAACTCCTGCATAGGGTAGAACCATGTCACAGTGATAGACATAAGGAAAATTCCCTGGTAGGGCATTAAAAAGAAGTCCTGAGGCTAGAGAGATGGCTCAGCAGTAAGAGCACTGGCTGCTGTTACAGAGGACCTTGGTTTGAACTAGTGAGATTTTTCATATATAATTTAATAATAAATTTCATTAACATATGATTCAGCTATCCTATATCTGAGATAGAGTATATATAATGTGATGTAATCCAAGAACTGGCAGTAGGGCCTAACCAGCCCACTCTTGTTAGCAACATTATTCACAATAACCACAAGGATGAAAGAAACAGATAGTTATTTGAAAGATCTAGAGGCAAAAATCATAAAAATAGAAATCATATAGCATTTCCCAGGAGTTAGGGTTTGGGAGGAGTTAAGGGTGTTGATTAATTGGTAGAATTTCAGTTTTGAAAGAAGAAAAGTTCTAGAGATTGGATGCCAAACGACCAGAAAGCATTTAACAATACTGAAGTGTACACTTCAAATTTTCGAAGATGGTCAAGTTTTGTTCTATGCATTTACCATACTGAACAACAAAATGTCTTTTCCAAGTCCACACCACACAAACCTGTCCAAAAACTTCTTCATTAACAGTGAAAGTGAGATCGAGAATGTCTGTGATGTTGTTGTCCTTCATCCACTGTAAACTCTGGTGGAATTCCTCATCCAAATATTCTAGGTCACTCAGATCACATGGTCTAGGTGAATTCAAAGACAGCAAGAAAAATTGCATAAACAAATATAGTTTCTAGACTACATCCCAAACATGATTGTGTAGCTTCTCAATAAAGCATCATAGGTTTCACAATTACTTGATACTTTTGAATGTATTGATGAAACAGTAATTGAATAGTTTTAATTTACTTAATAGTTTCCTTTTGAAAAGAAATGGCTAAAATTTCAATAATAAACACGAAATAATTATTGACTCGTAGGTATCTAAAAATCAAGCCAATTCTACTCATCTGCTTAATACAATGTTTACAATGTACATAAATGAATTAATGTCCATTATATGGTTTTGCCAATTCTTATACCTACAAATGCCTTTTTATTACACTAAAATGTATGGAAGATATATATATATATATATATATATATATATATATATATATATATGCACTCAGAACAAGAAATGATGGAAACTTAGTAGGACTGGTTGGAACAAAATTGGCAAAAATGGCCAGAGACATGAAGAAAGGCAGCACTATGATCCTGCAGATAGGCTACATGGAACCATCCTATAATTACTTACAGCTTCAGGAGTCCCTTATAGAAGGGTCTTGTGAAGAAAGCATCCAGAAGGTACTGATGGATCAGAGCTAGGCCCAGGATACGACCACTGAATCTAAACCTGAAACATACATAAAGCAAAGAAGTTTAAGAGTTACTAGGAATTTACATTACTAAGTATTTTAATTTGTACAAATCTTTTAAATGTTGCTTTATCCATGGTGTTAGTGGTTGGATCAAGGGCCTTACATTTCCTAGAATGGAAGCTGTACCACTGAGTATCCTCTTGGCCAACCCAATGAGTTTCTGTACAGTATTCAGCTTAAAATGAATTTGTCCATTGATAATATAAAAAGGCTTCCATTCTCTTTACCACAAATAATGGTCATATGATTGATATTTCCTAAATGAAACCTATGCTTCATGATCAGACTGCTGTTACTTATCTTAGAATAGAAAATTGTTTAGGAAGGGAAATGCAGGAACCTGAAATATAAACCCCAACTTAGACCCAAAGAGAACATGGACCAAAAACCATGTCTCTGACCAATGTGTCTTTACTTATTCAGATATTTTATAATGTTACCTAAAGGCCCATGTTGAGAGATGGAGGCTTGAATATAGGTCACAGATGGTAGTTAATATTTAAAGACAGTAGGAAACAGCTCCATGCAATCACAATGTGAGGACAGATAACCTAATCAACCATTATTATTCAATATTGCCAGCTATACAATGAAAGAACAAGGTCACTGTTAGAAAGAATTAGTCATTTAGACTTGGCCATCTACAGACATAAAGACCCTTACTTATTTCAATCTTTGTCGAACCAATTTATTTCCTAGGAAGTTTTCTGGTGAACTGCTTGGATGAGTTACAAGGTTACCTATAGTTTGCCCAGGAGATTTCGCTACTTTATGAAGCTTCCTGTCTCCCCGGGTCTAGCACCCTTGGCTTCTTTTCTACAAAGACTGTCAATGTCTGCAACTAACTCCAAAACTGTGGTATACATATTTTTCTATCTAATTTGATCTTCACCTCACCATGGAGTTTTCTGGCTCCTCCCTGTTGTAATTCCTAAATAACTATTTTTTAATGTGTTTGATATGACACTTCATGGTCACCAGATGATCAAATCTGTAAATGCTATAAAATGTCAAAATGAATAGATTATATTATCTTCTAGAATAAATATAAGTATAAAACATACTTCAAACTAGGATTCTGGAAGTAGTCTATTTCATTTGCCTGAAACGGGATGTAGATAATGGTGCAAACTATTGAGAGTTAAGAGAAATCAGGTAAGAAAAAAAAAAATGTAAACACAGGTGCCTTCCTAAACTTCAGGGGCCCTCCAATGACCCACGGAATAAAAATGAAAATGATAGCAGATAGCAAAAATGTGTAACTCAAAAAGATATTCAAAAAGAATACTATTTTAAGGTTAATGTTCAAAATTGAATACTCCAGGTTGCAAAGCAGCTGCTCCCAGCAGTCACAGAAGAGCAGGGAGCAATGAGTTAATACATGCACGCTGAGTTCAGTCCCTTTGTTTCTTGTTTGGTACAGTTTAAGATTAATGTTCTGGTAATTTGTTCAGGATAAAATATACAGCTTAAATAGACCAATAGCTAGGCTGTTTCCTAGATTAAATTAGAAGACTTTGAGGAAAAATTATCTCCAAACCAATGCTAAGACAGGGTATAAACACTCTTTCTCATTTAGAGACATGTTTTTTAAGTCTCCAAGGGATAGGAAGTCCTTCCACAAATTAAATGGTTTCCTAAATAAGAAAGAGGTGAACATTTTCTTAATTCATCATAGTGAGATGCCATAGCTCATAATATATAGGCAATAACAAGTAAGCTAAAGACATCCCATTGCACATACAGAAAGCCCAAGTACAATACAGTAAAATTGAACTTGAGAGTTCACTCCCAAGATAATGCAAAATGACTAAAGATATTGAAATTTAATTTTAAGAAGGAAAGTATATTTAATATTAACAATGATATTTAAAAATTAAGGCCAAAGGCAAAAATCTTAATTGCTGCTTTTTAATTGTTAGAATGTGAACGCTTACTTGATAATCTTCACCGCCAATTTCTAGAGGTAAAACAATCCTTACCTCTAGATAGAAGGATAGAAGAATGTTTTCTTAAATAATAAATGACGTTTATTTCAACAACTTGGTCATCCCTTTGTATCTTCTGTGTACATGGAATCAATTAATCATATATTGAAATCATTCAGAAAGATCATCTCATCTTTGTCAAATGTGAATATTTTTCATTATCATTTTCTAAGCAAAATAGTATAACAGTTTATAAAGTGTCTGCATTAATTGGGTATTATGAACAAACTAAAGATGATTTAAAGTATATGAGAGGGTGTGTGTGTGTGTGTGTGTGTGTGTGTGTCAACCCCAGTATCTATGTCTGCAACACAGCCCCTTCACTTAATGCTTAAGGAACATTTCAGAAGAAGGGGTGGAAAGATTTTAAGATCCAGAGGAGCAGGAAATCTGATATGAGATTGTGTCCTCTGTCAGGGAAGCTAATTCATGATATGCCAACAGTACACTTAAGACTAACATAGCACCAATGACATGCTAATGTGGAAGGGGGAAGCATGTGCAGCTTCAATCCTACACAGAGAAACACAGAGAACAGAGGATTGCTGTGAGGGGGAATTTGTCTTGTTCAGGGAGGAGCCTCCTAATTGCTTGTCCAATCCCGAGTGGTCAGCTTTGGAATCTTGCAACATTAAAGAGACCCAGAAGGTTGTACCAATATATTTATGTGAATAATAATAATAATAAAATAATAATATAATCAGAGGAAAGTAGGGCCATACATTCTAGAAGGGGTAATGTGGGGCAACAAAGTGGGTGGAAGGAAGGGGTATGGGAAGAGTTGGAGAAATGAGGAGAAAATAATGTAATTACATTATCATTAAAAATTCATAAATGATCAATTAAAATAAAATTAGAACCAGATGTTTTAAAAACAAATACAACAGGTTCCTGAACCTCAACGTTATTGACATTTAAAGTCCTATGAACTGAAGGGTGTTTAACAACATTGGCTGTTTAACTCATGTAATTAGCACCAACTCCTCACACTGTCTCCTGTAATCTCCTGACATGCCGAATATCTTCTGCTAGCAGTAAAAGCTGTTGTCTCCTAAGAACTCCTGGGACAGAGCACAAGTAAGGCTTTTTGGATTGCTGGGTATTTCTAGTTGACACACAGGTAGTTTTCATCTTGAAATTTGTGAAAGGGTATTCTTAGATTGTGGCTTTTTCTGAAGGAAATGGGAAGAGAGAATGAGTTCCCTGAATATACCAGGAAGCATCAAGTCTTTTAAATAGAATATCTGATACAAATTAAGACAGGGAGAGCCTTCTGGAGAATAACAGCATAACTACTAAGGTGGTAATATGTATGGTTTGTTTCAAGCCACTGAGGCTGGACTCCAGAAAGAGGGCTGTTCAGGGATAGTTGAAGTTTAGAGAGATACCTAGGAGATGGGCTATACAGGGCATGGCAGCCATGGGATAGACTTTGTATTCTATCTGAATGTGATGACAATCCACTGGAAGTTTCATGTGGGATCTATAGAATGAACATAGCAATGTGATATCATGACTGTTTTGGTCATTACATGGAGAAAGGTGAGGTTGACAAGAGTGGAAACAGGTATAAGTTTAGAAGCCTTATTTAGATGGAATATGGAAGATGGAAGATGATAGTGTCTTTCTCTAGCAGGAGTATTGAAGGCAATGGAATCAGGTTCAGGATGTATTTTTATAACACAACCAGGAATGTTTATGATGTACTGTATAAGAGACACGAGAAAGAAAGATATCAAACTTAGTCTACCGTCATGGGTCAGAGCAACTGAGCAGATAGTTGAATGGTTTACTGAGTAGTAAACACTGTGTGTGTGAGAGAGGGAGAGAGGGAGAAGGAGAGGGGGAGGGGGAGTGGGAGGGGGAGAGAGAATTATCTTTCACACATATTATGTTTTTGAAGTTTACTAAATATCTGGCTGGAGCTATGTAATAGGCTATCATATTGAAGAGAATTACCTCTGGCAACAGGGTCATGTTATGCATGATAATTTGAGGGTAATAATGATATAGACGGTATTTGTGGCCACACAAGAAGTTTGCACAGATCATGCTGGAATAAAGAATGAATCTTAATTCATGTAACATTCAGAGATTTGAAAGATGAGAGTCAATGACAGAGTGACAGAACCAGCTGTGAGGAAAAGAGGAACCAGAGCTTGTGAGAACTAGGTTTGGGGAAGGGGCAGAGATTTAGGTTCCTCTCAGACTAGGTAATAAGAGATCTCTAACAGATATGACAACTAGAGATAAGTTTTTGAATGTTCCCCAAAAGGTTGTCTATTAAAGGTGTTGTCCTCATCTTGAGATAATATTTGTAGATGGTGCTGTTTTAAGGATGTAGAACCAAGTGGCAGGTAATTAGGACAGTCTGGGTGTCCCTCTTTGTTGAAATGCTGGACCTTTCTCCCCCTTTCATTCCTTGTAAGAACAGTTTCTTCTTCATGCAACCTCCTCATGAAGTCCTTACTCATCATAGGTCTAATGCAACAAAGCTGTGAAATCCTGATCTGAAACCACAGGACCAAATAAGCACTAACTCCCTTTAAAAATTATTATTTTTTCATGTTTTGCCTGTGTTTATGTCTGTGAGGGTGTTGGGTCCTCTGGATCTGGAGATACAGATAGTTGTGAGCTGCCATATGGGTGCTGAGAATTGAACTTGGGTCCTCTGGCAGAGCAGCCAGTGTTCTTAACCACTGAGCCATCTGTTCAGCCCATCAGTAACTCCTTTTAAATTGTTCATCTCTGGCACTTTGTCACAGGAACAGGAAGCTGACAACAGAGTTTCTAAGAGTCGTTCCAGAAGGTATAAAGAAAGAAAGGCTAGATGGAGAGAACGAGGAGGAGAAGCAGTGGGAAGGGAGCTTATAAACTCGTTCTAGGAGTTTCCTCATGGGGAAATTACTGAAACCAAATTTTATGAGTTGAGTAAGGTGAGGCAGAATTTTCTTTCAAGGAAAACTTCTAGAAAGAGTTGTGAGAGA